ACTCACAGTCGGGCGGTGGGGAGCGAAGGCCCCTCGCTGTCGCTGGCGAGAACACCCAGACCGTCGCTGTGGCGTCACGTCGCCAAGAAAGGAAGCGAAGCCGGCGGCAGTGGAATGGCAGGAGGACGCCCTCGCCAGCACGATCGAGCATCATGGCGACACCAAGCAGTGGCTTGTGGGCAGGAACTTTCGAAACGAGGTATCGACAAGACGCGGGCGCTTCGAGCAGCGGTCACACGCCGCGGAGGCGGAGCGAATCCCGCGCTTCGCTCCCGCCGCTCACAGATCAGAGTTGCGTGCCGAAGGCGGCTGTCATATGACGGGAGTGGGCACCCGCTCGCCAAAAACCTCATAATTTATTACTGTGGCTCATGTGATACCTGGACGCCCATTCGCCAGGACGCTCCATTGTTCATATTGACCGACAAGAAACAACGCAGATCGTGACATGCGCATCTTCTTTTTGCCGGCATGAAAGGGTTGGGACTAGGTGACCTGGAGGGCTGGCCAGCAGAAGTAAGGATGAGGAAGGGGCAAGGGTGAGCTTGCTGAGGCGTAAGCCATGATCACAGCCGTGGTCTTGGATCTGTTCTCCTTAGACATGCGGTGTATGGTATGTGCGGATGTAACTCTGTGACCAGTGCTTCATTGTTGATATGTGAGCTGGCTCCATTAAACGTGCCTTTTTGGTAGCTCTATTGGCCCCTTTGGAGTTGTCGGTATTCCTTTGTTACGAAACGAGACCCGGCTCTCATGTGATCTTTCCGGTCGACGTGATGAAGCATACATTGTCTCAAGCATCCCCGGCCGAGTCTACCGAAGCGCCCCCTTTTGCGGGACTCGAGCGATCAACGAACGAGGGAGGTCTGCATCATCTAGCCCTCTAGTAGAGGACGAACAGAGCATCTGTTTCCGGGCGTCCGAATGCCGCTCCCTTGACGGCAGATGAAGATTCACTCACCACCTATCTATTCCCATGTCCACATCCGTCTGGATTTCATGTCTGAGGTATTCGGCGCGAGTGTGACTCTATGCCAAGGTCGGACCGAAGTCTGCAATCTTGTCTGTGTTTTTCACATGTGTCGTCTCAGCAATGACAGCTCAACATGGAACCCATGTGAGGCCATCTCTGCCGAGGACAACATCGAACGAGACTGGGTGATCACTGCCTATCGCGCCATGACGAGCGATGCTACCCGTCCGCATGGGGAAGCTCACCCGCTCACACCTTTGCTTTCTCGCGCGGCCTGACATGCACTGGCCACGCAAGTGGTTATCTAGGAGGGAATAGCGACGCGAGGCAAACCCGGCAGGGTGATGGTGCGGTGGGATGCCCTTTAGTGCCTCGACGTGCGCCAGCTAGCAGCAGCCAGGCCGCCTATCAACAGCCACACGCGCCAGTCTGACGGCAGCACACGGACGTGATCTACGTCGATATCCATAGTGGGTGATCTCGGTCCAACCTCGTGATTCGATGCCACCATGTCACGGTCTCACAACGGAGAGCTGAAGGCCAGATAACCTGGCGCCTCTACCACCCTAGAGCGCACGTGGGAATCAGCAGACTTCCCCGCAGATTTGACTCGAGGTGATTCTGTTTCCCATTCTCTACTGATCCTTACGGCACAAGCCACTGGTCTCTCTCGTCGAGAGCACCAAGCTTAGAGAGGGAGGACAGGGCGTTCAGAGCTTCAGCTCGGTTCGGTGGATGGAACGGCGAGATATGATAATTGACACCGAGGTGAATGAATCGCATTCTCATAGCGGCCATGTACCAATCGGAAGTGAGGATCGGCCCTCGCCCTGTGCTCTCAAATCTTCAATAAACGCCGCCGCCTCAACCCTTGATGCGACGAACGCAGACTCTCGAGAGCTGTGGCACTTGCTGGCTGAACCCAGTGGCGAATGCGCCAGCCAGGGGGTTGGGACAGCTTTTTTGTTTTTGACAGCAGCACAGAAGAAAGCAACGTTTGACTTGACTTGACGTCTTGGGGAGATTTTGCTGTCGCTCGGCAGAGCTGTTATAATCCAGGACAGGGGGGGGGGGGGGGGGGGGGGTTTCCACCCCCCAAAACTCCGTGGAAAGTTTTTTTCCCCGGGGGAG